CAGATAGGGGAACAGGGTGAAGGAAACAAAAACAATGAAGGAGAGGAAGAAGGAAGCGATGGTGAAAAGAGGGCCGCTTGGAGAACAAAAAGGGGTCAAGCAGGACACTTGTTTTTGTTATCCACTGTTCCTTTTCCTCACCCCTTACACTTATGTCCCGAGCATTGCTCACGCCTTTCTTCCACGGTCTTTGTCCTTCATTTCTCCTCTCTATCTCTCTATCTTCCCTCTAGCTCTCCTTCCTTTCTTTTCCATGTTCGTTCTCCTCCTTGACCCCGCTCTCGCTTTTCTCGTGTCCAGCCCATGAGCCTTTCCTCTTCTGTTCCTTTTGCCATTAAGTGGGGGGATAGAAAAGGCAAGGTTAAGCAAGGAGAATGAAGGGCATTATAAGATTGCGGACTATGGTCTGTCTCTTTCTGCGAGGAAAGGAAGAGGTGAGGGGAGGGGAGGAGAGGCAATGTCTCATGTCGAGCTGGGAGGGAGGGTTGGATGCTACTGGAAGCTCTAGCCTCTAAAGGCCCCTGCATTCGGGAGGCCCCTGAGATAGCAACATTGGGATGGGATAGGGTATCTCTCGCTTCCTCTTCTGAGCCATGTTTCCTCACCCCGACGGCGGAGGCCTCCACGTGGGCGATGGAAGGGACTCAGCTAGGGGTAAGGTAGTGCCCCTACTGAGACCAACTCCATACCCTGAGGGGTGTCACCTTTGTCACTTTGGTTGGTTACAGTTTGGTGGGCCTTTTATACTGATGGGGTGAGAGTGCCGCCAATTCTCTTAACGGCGTCCGCACTCTTGCGGTCTTGCTCATTGGGTTTCTTTGTTCGGGGGAAGGTGTTGGGGGGGGTGCTCATGGAGTGCCTTCGCCGCCTTCTCTCGAAGCGGTGTCGTGTCGGGCAGCTTCCTGGGTGGGCTGTCGGACGAAGATACTCTCGGTCAAGTTCTTCTCGAGGTTTTTGCGGTAACTTCACACCCAGAGTACCCTCACTCGCTTGTTCACATGCTGTTGCGAGTGTGTCGTCGTTTTCAGCCGGTTCGGAATCGGCGAAATCGGGCCTGTTGACAGCTTCTACGAAAAAGGCGGGTTCGTGGCGGGGGGAGGCGTCGATACGTCGTGGTCGGATTTTGCCTGTCAAGGGATTGGCTGGCACGACTAGCCGAAGGGTGCAGGGGGACACGATCCCCTTGTGGCGGTGTTTTGGCCACATGCCAACACCAATGGCAAGCCCGACCCCCCCTTGCTATGTTTCTGCTTTTTTGCCTGTTCGACAAGGGATGTGCCGGGACCTCTGTAGATCGATTTGACCGTAGGCGAACACTCGCTACGGATGCATTTTTGTTGTTTTTTTTCAGATGGGTGAGCGGGAGGTGGGCGATTTGGATTTGCTTTTTCTCTTTGGTTTGGGCTTGTCGCTCTGCTGGTCCAGGTACGTGTACTATGTTGGCGGGGTGCGGTTGAGTGGTTTATGTATACACTTACAAGTAGGACTTCCAGTCTTACAACTCAGGCAAACTGTCTTATAAGTCAACGTAACTGAGCCAGATGTTTATAAGCGTTTATGAGTAATATAGCAGAGTTATAATGCCACTTGCGTTTGGGTTATAACCCAGAATATATGTTGTTGCTAAGTCATTTATAAGTCGTGCTCGTGGGAACGTGGAATTTCGTCCGTGGTACCATATAAGTGGACTTAGCTAAGTCCTAGCTAACTGGTTCGCGGCAGACTTTCTATTCAATGAGTGCGCTGTTCTGTTTGTCGGGCCTCTCGACATGTCGTGGGCGTGTCGTGGGCATGTCGTGGCCGTGTCGTGGGCGTGTCGTTGTTCTGGGGCCCTGTCGCGTGCATGTCGTGGCCGTGTCGTGGCCGTGTCGTGGCCGTGTCGCGGCCGTGTCGCGGGCGGCTTGGCACTTTGCCACGGGGCTGCGTCATGGGCGTGTCGTGGGCATGTCGTGGGCATGTCGTGGCCGTGTCGTGGCCGTGTCGTTGCTCTGGGGCCGCGTCGTGGGAATGTCGTGGCCGTGTCGTGGCCGTCTAGTGCTCGCGTCGTGGTCGTGCCCGGGTGGCAGACTTAGCTCGGAGTTGTAACTCCAGTTGCATAAGTCCGTAAGTCCGTAAGTCCGCTTATAAGCTAATGCCGCGGACAAGCTAAGTGCCACCTAAGTCACTTAGTAAGCCACGGTAAGTCATTAGGGCGTAACCGATTTTATAAGCCGGACAAGCCCCGCCCGCCAACATAGTAGTCGCCAAACCAAACACCTGACCTGTCCTGTCCATTTTTCCTCATTTCTTCCTTGTTCCATCCTTTCTCACTCGATTTCGCCCCCCCCCCCTTCCCTCGCCTTGTTCCATGCCCTGTCCACATCCTTCTCAAACGAGAAAGCAAGAGAACGATGAGAAGGAGAGGTGAGAGGGACGAAAAAGGCAAGGAAATGAAGATTTCGCCCTGCCCTCTCTGTCACTTTTCTCATCCGCTTTCACCCCTTCCCTCTCATCACTCCATGCTCTATGCTAAGAAAGGAATAGGAGAGGAAGAGAGGAGTGGGAGGAAGAAGATTGGCAGAGGAAAAAGGGACTTCTTCCCTTTCATTTAGCTTTGGCTTACGGTATCCCAAACACCAAAATACAGATGGGTCTTTGGGAGGGGGGCTTGAAAATTCTACAGACTTTAGCAGAGCATATGAAATATTGAACTACTGGACCCCAGGGCCGAGTAAGGGCTCCAGCTGCTTAATCGGGTTGACGATGCCGGGGAACTCTCCCCGAGAATCTTCAATCCTGATCCTTCGGCCTCAAGGCCGATTGAGCGCTCCGCCTGCTTAATCGGCCCTGGGTTTGAAGATTGAACATGCCCGGGAACTCTCCCCGGAGCACCTTCAATCCTGGATTCTCAACCCTGGGCCGACTAGGCAGATGAAGTGCTTAATCGGAAGGGGTCTGGGGTTGAAGATACTCCTGGGAGAGTTCCCCGGCATATTCAATATTCAATCTTCAATCCAAGGGCCGATTAAGCAGCAGGTGGAGCGCTTAATCGGCCCTGTGTTTGAAGGTTGAAGATTGAAGATGCCCGGGAACTCTCCCCGGAGCATCATCAATCCGGGGAGAGTTCCCCGGCGTCTTCAATCTTCAATCGTCAAACCCAGGGTCGATTAAGCACTGTCTTGGCCCCCCCTTCACAAAACATATTATCTCTACTTTGTTGTCCAGAAGCAGATGTTGGCGCGTAAGGCCTTTTCACACCCGAAAACATCTCTCAGTCAGCAAAACGCAAAGAGAAAGTACGTAGAATAGGTGCCCACATCAAGTGTGTATATAGGATAAATGTATGGCGTATCAAATACCGATAGCGGAGAACGAACCATGAGACTCAGAAGTATTCGAGCGCATAGGGTAATGCGGAAAATCATTTACTTTAAGCCCCAGGGACACGAGAATACTGTGAGCAAATGTCCTTTCGCGATTTCCTGAGACCTTCCAACAGGCTGCAAGTAATTGCTCGCAAGTATCTTGCTTTTTCATTCTCAATGCTTCCCACAGGTCTCCCATCATGGTTATCATTTGTCAAGGATGATGCTTATTCTCCAATTATCCGCAAGACCCACAGGCGCTTAAAGTCTTACGTAATACTCGTCCAAAGCAACAGGATATCACATCCTGACTACAAAAAGTATACGAAACCTTGGTTTATGTTGTGCGTCTCGTAAGAAGAAATGACATAGCGTGCTACGGGAACTGTGCTGTTAAGCCTTTATATAGCGAGGGTTTAGTGGTTTAGAGTTGAAGGGGAAGGCCAGAAAGTCTTTTCAGATGCCTCGCTGTTTTATTTTTTGTCACCGTGTTTTAGGCGGTTGTACGTCTCGTAGGAATAAATGGTTTCTGATATAGCATGCTACGGGAACTGTGCCGTTATATCTCAATGTACCGAGGGTTTAGGGTGGTTTAGAGTTGAAGGGGTAGGCCAGAAGGTTTTGTTTAGCTACTTTGCTGTTAGATTTTTGTTTTCATTCTTTTCACCTTTTCACCCTTATCTTATCTTCATCTCTTCTCTCTCTCTCTCTATCTTCTTCTTCTTCTGCTGGGCTTGCAGTTCTCCCTTCCTCTCTGTCATTTCTGCGTATTGTTCTTTCCGTTCTTGCTTCTCTTTCTATTTCTCCACTTTCCTTCCTCTCCTTCCTGCTTCTTAGCTTTCCACCAGAAAAAGAAAATGAAAGAACGGCAAGCTCGTCTTGGTTTATCACTGATCACCAATGAGACAGGAGAGAAGAACAAGGAATAGAGCAATGAAGTCGAGGAAGGGGCAGATGATGAGAGCGAGGGCGTCTTGCTTTCCCTGAGCTTTCGGTTCCTTTCATTTGTCCTTTCTTCTTATGAAGAGAAAAGGGAGAAGAGCAGAGGATGAAGGCAAGGGAAGAGAAAACGTGTGAGCCGAGCGAAAGAGGAGTTCTCCCTTCCTGTCCCCACCATCTGCCTTCATCCTATCTTTTCCTTTTTGTTCTCTGTTGTCCTTATTCTCCGCAGAAAGTTTTGGAAAGGAGGGGAGGAAGGAAAGAGGGGAGGGAAGGGATGAGAGAGCAAGAGATGGCAGACAGAGAGAGAGAGAGAGAGAGAGAGAGAGAGAGAGAGAGAGAGAGAGAGAGAGAGAGAGAGAGAGAGAGAGAGAGAGAGAGCGAGACAGAGCGAAGAAGAGAGAGAGAGAGAGAGGGAGATTAACAAAAGAAAAATCTTGAGAGGGAAGGAAAGGAGAGATAAACACATCGAGATGAAGTGGTGTTTTCTCTTTCCCCTTCCTTGGTGTTATATCAGGTAAACAAAAACAACACTAATAGGAAAAGGCTAAAAGCGGCTGAAACAACAATATGGTCATGGGAATATTTATCAACAAAAGAGTATATTATCGTCTTCATTAAAGCAACACACTTGAGGGCGCTCAGGGTTTGTCATTTCCAGCAGCTCCTGTAGTTAGCGTTATTTATGTTATTATTGATTTTTCTAAAGTAGTATATTTATCGCAAACACCAGACCCTTACACGAGGGTTGAATGGAAAACGGAATGAGAGGTAGGTGGCGAAGCCCTAGGAAAATAAGAGATGTGATGCCAAACATGGGAGCCCTGAGCCGTGAACCGAACTAGCCCTAAGCCATAAATTTTGCCTTAAACCTAAACCCCACAAATTGTATGTGTGAATTGAACCGTTTAAATAGCAAACAAAAAGGAAGTGCCAAATAGACCCTAAAGGTCCATGCCACATAGGGCTCTAGGGCTCTAGGCTCTCGGGCTCTTGGGCTCTAGGGCTCTGGGGCTTTAGGGCTTTATGGCTTTAGGGCCTTAGGGTTTCAGGGCTTTAGGGCTTAGGGCCCTGCTCTACGGTCCTTGGCCACGATGTCTTGCTTCAGCTGCGTGAGGTTCGCGCCTTTTTTTGGAGAATGAACTTAGGGATTGGGGTTTAGGGTTTAGGGTTTAGGGCTTAGGGTTTAGGGTTTAGGGTTTAGGGTTTAGGGTTTAGGGTTTCGGGTTTCGGGTTTAGGGTTTCGGGTTTAGGGTTTAGGGTTTCGGGTTTCGGAAATTTCGGGGGTCGGGTTCAGGGCCCACAGGAAGCAACTCGGCAGCCCAAAAGTAAGGTTGTAGGGTTTAGGGTTTAGGGCTTAGGGATTAGGGTTTAGGGTTTAGGGTTTAGGGTTTGGGGTTTAGGGTTTAGGGCTCTAAACACCTGTACTGGGACTGTCGAGCTATTGGGGTAAGAAAGAGATTGGGGTACTGTTACGTAGGGGATAAAGTACCTGAATTCTGGTTCTCAGACATCGAACTCTTCGAAGTAGGACTTGGGCGCACGTGTGGATGAAGGGATAAGCCCTAGTACATACACTATGACTTGCATGGTCCCTCTGTACTGAGCCTAGCCTCTAAACCCTAAACCCGAACCCTAAACCCTAAACCCTAAACCCGAAACCCCTGCAGCCCCCTGTAACAATGTAGGAGGCCAAGGGGCCGATCTTCTTCAGCTGCTTCATCTGCTTGTCGCTGGGGAGGCCCTCGCGCTCGAGCTGTGACAGGGTCTCCACGATCTCGTCCTGGAGGTTTAGGGTTTGGGGTTTAGGGTTTAGGGTTTAGGGTTTAGGTTTTGGGGTTTAGGGTTTAGAGTTTAGGGTTTAGGGCTTTCGCGCCTTTTCCCCAATGGGGTGTTGAAATTGGCCGCAGTTTAGGGTTTAGGCTGATGCTTCTTGAGCACATCGTGCTAAGGACGTTCAGAATGCGTACCTTCCTATTATATTTGGAAGCTAGCAGGAGAGAAGGGTTAGGGGGTTGGAGGTTCAGGATTCGTGTTTAGGGTGTAGGAACCCTAGCCCGTAGTCGCCAGTAAGAAAACTCACCCCCCCCCCCCCGCCCCCGCCCCCCGCCCCCGACCCTCCCCACTGTTCTATCTTCCGACCGCAGTCGGGTTCTGACAAAGACATCACTACAGGAATCCCCACGATCTTTCTCTCAAGAGATGGTACGAAAGTAGGGGATCTTTAACATAGCCCCCGACAGGAGGGTTCCCTTATAAGAAGGACCCCCCATAAGGTACCCCCTATGATGGCAAACCCCCAGATGCAGCCGCGTAGGGGCTCTAGGAAGCGTGGGTGACCCGGCAACTTAGGATCCACGGCTCGGAAGATGTTGTGGAAGTTGGGCAGGCTTTCGGGTTCAGGGTTCATGGTTTTTGGGTTTTTGGGGTTTTTCGGGTTTTTAGGGGTTAGTTTAGGGTTTTTTGTTGGGGGGGGGGGGGGGGGGGGGTGCAGGGTTTCAGGAGTGACACCCGGTCCTGACGGAGGATCAGGGTGTCCTCTTGGTCGTACATGTCCTGGTGCCCCAAGGGCTGAAAAGCCAAGGGATGCGCTCAGAGTTTAGGGTTTAGGGTTTAGGGTTTAGGGTTTAGGGTTTAGGGTTTAGGGTTTAGGGTTTAGGGTTTAGGGTTTAGGGTTTAGGGTTTAGGGTTTGGGTTCAGGGTTTGGGGTTTGGGGTTTGGGGTTTAGGGTTTAGGATTCAGGGTTTAGGGATGCAGATGGCCCAAAAAGTTTCGGAGGCTTTAGAGTTGAGGGTTTTTGGGTGCTGGGGTGGAGGGTTGGGGGCTTCAGGTTTTTAGGGCTTCTGAACCCTAAACCCTAAACCCTAAACCCTGAACCCTAAACCCTAAACCCTAAACCCGTTGATGCTTAGGGTTTTGGGGGTCTTGCTAGGGCTTTAGGGTTGCTGGGTTTGCAGTAGGGGGCGGAGCGCCTTGATGTGGTTCATCACCTTGATGAGGTTCATCACCTGCAGCGGACAGCCCTTTTGGGGGTTGAGGGTTTAGGGTTTAGGGTTTAGGGTTTCGGGTTTAGGGTTTAGGGTTTAGGGTTTAGGGTTTAGGGTTTAGGGTTTAGGGCTTCGGATGTAGTGCTTAGGGTTTAGAGGCTTTAGGGCCCCGAAACCCTGAAACCTTAAAGACGGCGCCGCGTCGCATCTCCCTCCTTGAGCTTGGTCTGGTGTCCAGTGTTGGTGGTCTGGTAGAACCTGGTAAGGGGTTCGGTTTTTCGGGTCCAGGGTTTAGGGTGGTTTAGGGTGGTTTAGGGTGGTTTAGGGTGGTTTAGGGTGGTTTAGGGTGGTTTAGGGTGGTTTAGGGTGGTTTAGGGTGGTTTAGGGTGGTTTAGGGTGGTTTAGGGTGGCTTAGAGTTTTGAGGGTTTAGGGTTTGGGGTTTAGGGCATAGGGTTTCGGGCTTCGGGTTTAGGGTTGGCTCTCAAAATCAGGGTCCCATTTTGGGTCCCATATGTAGTAGGAACCAAAAATGAGTTCAAAGAACGACCCCCCTCCAAGACAGGGTTAGGAGTTGGGGTTGAGGGTTGAGTGTGCGGAAAGATTGCAAAATGTATCCTCCAAGGCCAGCAGGAGGGTCGAGGGTTGCGGAGGTTTGATCGGGGAGGGGGTTGGGGTTAGGGCTTCTGGGCTTTGGGCTTTGCGCTTCAGCTTTGGGGTTTGGGGTTTAGGTTTGGGATTGGGATTAAAGTTTAGGGAACAAGGAAGGGTGCATATGGTCAGGGCTTTTAGGGTTCAACGGTTTAAGGTTAAGAGCTTTGTCAGGGTTTCTAGGGTTTGGGTTTGGGGTTTGATTTCCCTTGTTCCTAAACACAAAACCCCTTGAAGGCCACCCCTAAACCCTAAACCCTAAACCCTAAACCCTAAACCCTAAACCCTAAACCCTAAACCCTAAACCCCCAAACCCGGGGGGTATAGGCCTCGGGGGCTTCTTCGGGTGGAAGGGTTTCGGTTGTTTTCGGCTTTTTACGTGTTTAGGGCGTGTAGAGGGCCCTCGAACTTCCTAGTTGCCCTTACGCATATGCATCTCAGGGGCCTACACTACCCAGGATGGAGGGCCTAACCTCAAAGAGCTTAAGGGGGTGCTCCGGGTTTGGGGTGTCTTGCTTGGGGAGGTGGGTTTTTTGGGGTTTTAGGGTTTAGGGTTCAGGGTTCAGGGTGTAGGGTTTGGGGTTAAGGGTTAAGGGCTAAGGGTTAAGGGTTTAGGGTTCAGGGTTCAGGGTTCAGGGTTCAGGGTTCAGGGTTCAGGGTTCAGGGTTCAGGGTTCAGGGTTCAGGGTTCAGGGTTCAGGGTTCAGGGTTTAGGGTTTAGGGTTTAGGGTTTAGGGTTTAGGGTTTAGGGTTTAGGGTTTAGGGTTTAGGGTTTAGGGTTTAGGGTTTAGGGTTTAGGGTTTAGGGTTTAGGGTTTAGGGTTTAGGGTTTAGGGTTTAGGACTTCGAACTCTTTCCGGTGGAGCGATTTTACCAACGCGGCCGGGGAGCTCATCCAGGCTCTTGAGTGTGGAGGACAGCCAGGCTGTGACCACGGGTCCTGGCGAAACGAGGTGCAGCCCTACACCCTAAACCCTAAACCCTAAACCCCCAAGTCCTGCACCCTACTCGTCCCGTTGAGGATCTTGAGAAAGGGTCCCACAAGCCAAGGGTATAGTTTTGTAGCCGTCCAAGGAAGAGCCCACTTGGTAGAGAGACACCCCCCAACTACCCGGCTTTGAGACTGAGGTTAGGGGTTGGGGGTTAGGGTTGGGGGGTTAGAGGTTGGGGTTTAGGGGCTGAGGGTTGCTGTAGAGGAACTGAAGCTAAGCTACAGTATGCGACCATAACGTTTCCCCGTTATCCCTACTCTCTAAACCCTCAACTCTAAACCCTAAAACCCTGAACCCAAACCTTCTCATCCCTAAACCCTGGTCGGGCCTAGAAGGAGTCCGAAGAAGATTGCTAAGAAGAACTTCTTGAACCCAATGAAGGCGAACATCGCATGCATCGTGGCATACACCAACATCCCCGGCCTAGGGCTTAGGGCCTACAGGATTTGTTCTTGTCTGTATGCTTGAAGGAAAGGAGGGTGATTGGCTTCTTGTCATCCAGCGAAATGGAGATGCCGGAGGCTTCGCGAAGGACACTGCGCTTCTCCTACCGAATGGTCTCTGCAAGGATCTGTCGCATGTGTCCAATGGCCCACGGCTCCAAGCATTTACTGTCCAAACCAGTCCGGGTTGAGCTGAGAAAGACCTCTGTCAAGCGAAACTGACAGCAAGCTCTGTTGCTGCTCTGTCCCGTGCTCCGCCGCCACAGGGACTGAGCCGACGAACATGCGTTCGTCAGCCATGTCCACCTGGCCTTGGAACGGGAAGCGCTAACAAGGTTTTACTAGCTCTGTCTGGTCTCTGCTACTGCGCCTCTTCAGGTCTGGGGTTTGGGGTTTGGGGTTTAGGGTTTAGGGTTTGGGGTTTAGGGTTTAGGGTTTAGGGTTTAGGGTTTAGGGTTTAGGGTTTAGGGTTTAGGGTTTAGGGTTTAGGGTTTAGGGTTTAGGGTTTAGGGTAGAAACAGCCTCTCACCCCATACTTAGGGCCCCTCCGCGGCTCAGAGTTCAGGGCTTCAGAGCTTCGGGCTTAGGGGCTCCGGGTCCAGAGTTCGGGGCTGAGGCTTTTCAATCAACCCTAAACCCTAAACCCTAAACCCTAAACCCCAAACCCTAAACCCTAAACCCTAAACCCTAAACCCTAAACCCTAAACCCTAAACCCCAAACCCTAAACTCCAAACCCTTAAGCCGTCCTGAGTACTCGTTGGCACGGTTTCGGGCCATCCTTGACCGCGCACGTGGGCGAAGCGAGATTTATGAGCTTTTTGGTGCATTCAGAGTTTAGGGTTTAGGGTTTTGGGTTTTGGGTTTGGGGTTTGGGGTTTGGGGTTTGGGGTTTGGGCTTTGGGCTTTGGGCTTTGGGCCTTGGGCTTTGGGCTTTGGACTTTGGGGTTCACGAGAATGGAGGCCCAAACACGGACCCTAAACCCCAAGCGGGGCGCAGTGGCTATCTCAAGACCCGAAACAGGGTTTGGGGCTGAGAGTTGCGTGTTTGGGGCTTAGGCTTAGGGTTTAGGGCGTAATTGAGGGAGAGGGGCTGCATTCAACTACTGTAAGTCCTACACTTAGCGTCTGCTGGTTTGTAGGTATCTTCATGACGCTAATTACCGTCATCGCTGTTCCTATCTTCCGTACATATCAGCCACCGGGGTTAAGCTCTAGGTTTAGGGCCTCGCGGGTCTGTCGTGACTCGCAACATCACGGCTAGAACGCAGCAAGCGTCGCGGCTTGAACTGTGGCTCCCAGGTCACTCATAAAGAACACTCGTCGGCTACTACGGCCCTGGTCGACTCTCTGCCTATCCAGACCCCGGGGCCATAAACGTGATTCCTAAACATCCCCATGGCCTAAACGTCACTCGACTCTACAGCCTCAGCTCCTAACCCAAAACCCCAAAAACATGCCTACACCCTAAATCCCAGTTAGGGTTTAGGCCCCCTAAACCCTAAAACCCTAAAACCCTAAACCCTACAACCCTAAAACCCTAAACCCTAAAACCCTAAACCCTAAACCCCAAACCCTAAACCCTAAACCTCTCTCTTTGGTAGCCAAAGGCGCTTGGTAAACGTGGGCCGGAACGGAGAGCCGCGGATTGGCCGGGGCTTGCCATTCTCCTCAGACTGGGCGGAGGGGCCCGGGAACTCCAACAAAGCTGCCGTGAAATATAAACATACATGTAGGCTTTTTCAACATAATATATAAAGATATATATCTTTCTCCTTTCTATTTGTATATGTGTATGTACACACACACACACATACATATATATATATATATATATATATTATGTGGGTGTACATATAGATATACATGTGCATATATATATATATATAGATTCATTTTTTTATATCTCTGTGTGTGTGCGTCCTTGTCGACACTGTTTGATTTTTTTTTTTTTGTTTTGGGGGGGGGGGGCCTTTAGTGCTTGGCGACTTGGCCTTGATTGCTTGGGTCGCTGGAAAAGAAGGCGTTGAGACCCAGAGTTGAGAGTTTGCGTTTTTAGGGTTTAGGGTTTCGGATTTAGGGTTTAGGGTTTGGGGTTTGGGGTTTAGGGTTTAGGGTTTAGGGTTTAGGGTTTAGGGTTTAGGGTTTAGGGTTTAGGGTTTAGGGTTTAGGGTTTAGGGTTTAGGGTTTAGGGTTTAGGGTTTACCCCAAACCCCTGAACCCTTACTACCCCTGAACCTCTGAACCCTAAGCTTAGCAAGGTTTAGGTTTTAGGGGTTTAGAGTTTAGCGGTTTGGGGTTTGGGGGTTTGCGGCTTAGGGTTCACCAAGGGCCGAGATTCGTCCATGAGCTTCACATGGATTACGAGCCTTGGCCGCTTGTGCGCAGCGGGTTTTGGGGGAGCGGTCCGCTCTCTTACGGATGCTCACTTTTTGCTCCCTGTCAACATGGGGGTTGGAGTTTAAGGGTTTGGGGTCTAGGGCTTAGGGGGACTAAGGAGGACTAGCGGGTTCAGGGGCTTAGGGTTTAGGGTTGAGCCTCACTCAACTCTTCGCCCGAAGCTTAGGCAGATATGCGAACCTCCAAAAGAAATCCCGTGACCCCAATCCTAAGCCTCCTGGATTGCGGTTTGAGGGTTTAAGGATTCAAAGTTTAGGATTTAAGTAGGGTTTAGGGTATAACCCCCAAGGGGGTGCGAAACACCTGGGTCCGCACCACCAAGGGGCAAGGGCCACTACAACCCATACCTAAAATGGTTTACTTCGAACATCCCCACCCTCCAGCTTTGGAATTTGTGGGCCGTCCTACACTCCAGGGCTTAGGGTTTAGGGTTTAGGGTTCAGGGTTCAGGGTTCAGGGTTCAGGGTTTAGGGTTTAGGAGTCAGGGTTTAGGGTTTAGGGGTCAGGGTTTAGGGTTTAGGGTTTAGGGTTTAGGGTTTAGGGTTTAGGGTTTAGGGTCTAGGGTCTAAGGTTTAGGGTTAGGGTTTAGGGTTTAAGGTTTAGGCTTTCGGGCCCCAGACACTCCCCACAGAATCCCTGGAGTGCCCAACACTGGGAGGGGTCGGGGGGTGCAGGGTATACAGTAAACCACAAAAAAGTTGGAAACCTGTTTAAGGACAAATAGTGCTGGGATTCCCTAAACTTTACTCTTTGGGATTGAGGCCATTGAGTCTCCAACTTTTGGGCTTCTGCTATAAAGTTAGGCCTAGGAGTTCGGATCTTCGGGTTCTGGGGTGGTTTAGGGTTTAGGGTTTAGGGTTTAGGGTTTAGGACTTAGGGTTCAGGGTTCAGGGTTTAGGGTTCAGGGTTTAGGGTTTGGGGTTTAGGTTTTAGGGTTGGGGGTTTGAGGGATTCCCCATCAAGCACCTCAACACCGAAAACCTGTAAAGCCGAACAGCCCAGGCCTCTCCCCGTTTCGGCCTTTAGGGTTTACGGCTTAGGGTTTCGGCTTTAGGGTTTAGGGTTTAGGGTTTAGGGTTTAGGGCTTAGGGCTGAGGGTTTAGGGTTTAAGGCAACCCTGATCCTTAAACCCTATGTGCAGGCGAGGGGCTCGCCCTCATCAGCCATGTACTTGACCTCAGGAGAGCGTCAAAGCTTGGTTAGGGGTTTAGGGCTTAGGGCTTAGGGCTTAGGGTTTAGGGTTTAGGGTTTAGGGTTTAGGGTTTAGGGTTTAGGGTTTAGGGTTTAGGGTTTAGGGTTTAGGGTTTAGGGTTTAGGGTTCAAAATGTAAGATGTTACCCCCACACATGACAAAGAATGGAGGGCCTCCGTCTTACCGTCGTTGAGGTCATTCAACTCGAAGGACACATCGCGGAAGACCTCCTTGCCCTCGGTGTTGAGGACCTTCTGCTGGACCTCAGCGTAGGTTTAGGGTTTAGGGTTTAGGGTTTAGGGTTTAGGGTTTACGGTTTACGGTTTACGGTATACGGTTTAGGGAGTGCTTGGGGTGTAGGGGTTTTAGGGCTTGAGGGCTTGAGGCGATTTAGGATTGAGGGCGCTTCCTTTGCAAGCTTGAAACCCTGAAGCCAAGACCCGAAATAGTTTCGGGCTGAGCTTCATAGGGTGGATTTAGGGCTTGGGAGTTCAGGTGCTACAGTTCAGGGTTTTAGCCTCTTATACTAACAGTCCTTAAATAGGGATTATAAGAAGGGTTACTATTGGGTTTAGGGTTTAGGGGTTAGGGTTAAATCATCGGAGGGCGGCCGCACCACATAAACAAGTTGCTGGCCCTCCTTGGGCTTTCTGGGAAACCTGGGTTTCCTGGTCGGCTCCCTGGCTTCCTCCGCCTCTTCCTTCTGCCAGCGGGCTCCCGTGAATTCGTTGCGCCTTGTACTAACAAGGGTTGAGGGTTTAGGGGTTCGGGTTTAGGGTTTAGGGTTTAGGGTTTAGGGTTTAGGGTTTAGGATTTAGGGTTTAGGGTTTAGGGTTGAGGGTTGAGGGTTTAGGGCCTATCTTCAAAAAGGCGCCACAGTGCAAGTGGCCCATGGGGGCCGGGCATAAGGGAGCCCAGGCCCTCAGGCGCGGGTTGTGAGCCTGAGTTCGGCCGAGGAAGACCTGATGGGGCGGGTCGGGAAAGAGTGACGGCGTGTGAGCCACTTCCCACCTGCCTTGGTCTGGCGCTGCTTGTCGAATAGCCTGAAGCCCTTGAACGTTACACCGGTGTTGGGATGTTCTCCCTTGTGCTAACAAGGGTTTAGGGTTTAGGGCTTAGGGCTTAGGGCTTAGGGTTTAGGTTTTAGGGTTTAGGGTTTAGGGTTTAATTAGGGTTTAGAGTAACAGTCCTTAATATGGATTATGGTACCCCCTATTCTAATCCCTATTCAGGAATGCGAGTAAAAGGGGGAACGTCCCAACACCGGTCTCTTGGCGCTACAAGTGCGACAACCAAACGCGCAAGCATCTTGTCCATTTCACCTCAGAAACCCCAACACCTTGCCCCAACACCTAGGAAACCCCTGCACCATAAACAAAACAAAGACACGCCCAAGACCCATAAACTTTGAAACCCTGAGCCCAGAAACCCTGAAACCCTAAAGAAGCTCTAAACCCTGAACCCTGGTACTCTTAAGCCCCAAAGCCCTGAAACCCTAAGGCCCCGATACACCACCACCATACAAAGCTTCAACACAATTAAAGCTTAACGTCTTAGACCATAAAGCCCCCAAATTGGCAGCGCAAGACCCCCTAAGCTCCAAAAATCCTAAGCCCCAACCTCCAAGCACTGAACTGAAAACTCTAAGCCCTAAACCCCCGACACTCCAGGCCCCAAACCCCCCTAAACTCCAAGCCCTAAACCCCCTATGAACTCCAAGCCCTAAACCCCGTATGAACTCCAAAACCCTAAACCCCCCAAACTCCACAACCCTAACCCCCCCCCCCCCTCCCCCCCCCCAAAAAAAAATAAAGAACTCCAAGCCCTAAACCCCCCAAACCCAAAGCCCTAAACCCTAGAAATCAGCGCAGCCCGGCAGGCAGTAACCATGAACTCGTCGCGGCCGGACTTTCGATTCTCTCCAAGCTGGTTTCGAGCCTGAAGGGATTCTGGGGCTTTGGGTCTGGGTATCTACCCCAAGTAGAGGGTTTAGGGTTTAGGGTTTAGGGTTTAGGGTTTAGGGTTTAGGGTTTAGGGTTTAGGGTTGAGGGTTTAGGGTTTAGGGTTTAGGGTTTAGGGTTTAGGGTTTAGGAAGGGATTCTGGGGCTTTGGATATGGGTATCTACCCCCAGTATAGGGAGAGGGTTTAAGGCTTCGGGTATAGGGTTTAGGGTTGGGATGGTCCCCCTTATACTAACAGTCCTTCAATTAACCCTACACCCGAAACCCTAAACCCTAAACCCTGCATAGACCAAGAACCCTTCACGCCTGTGAGCCCCAAGCTCAGCCTGCCAAACCGGCTCGCGCCTGGATCATGAAACGCGTCTCCACGTTGGCCTGCTGCTCCTGGCCATTGGGACGCCCTAAACCCTAAACCCTAAACCCTAAACCCTAAACCCTAAACCCTAAACCCTAAACCCTAAACCCTAAACCTTAGCCCTAAACCCTAAACCCTAAACCCTTTTTCCCCTGAAGGGGTTTCAGGATAGACCCTGAGTCATATTCTTCTCGGGGCAGTCTGCGCCCCCCCACAAGGGCGTAAGGCTTAGGATTTAGGGTTTAGGGTTTAGAGTTTAAGGTTCAGGGTTTAGGGTTTAGGGTTTAGGGTTTAGGGTTTAGGGTTTAGGGTTTAGGGTTTAGGGTTTAGGGTTTAGGGTTTAGGGTTTAGGGTTTAGGGTTTAGGGTTCAGGCTTAGGATTTAGGGTTTAAACTCTAGACTTAGGGCCTGGGCCCTGAAAACAACAAAACTAAAGCCCCAAAGTCCCATACCCCAAAGCCGGGACCCTGGGCCATGGGGCCATGGAAGTAGAAATCTCCAATTCGGCTTTATGCCCTGTAGTCTGCCTTTATGTCCTGTAGTCTGCCTAAACCCTAAACCCTAAACCCAAAACCCAAAACCCAAAACCCTAAACCCTAAACCCTAAACCCTAAACCTCTGCCTTTGCTTCGTTTAGAGCTTGTTTGGGGCTTCGGGTTCAGGGCTTTTCGGCTCCTGGAGGCATCCCGGACCGAAGCACAAGGACTTCTCCGCGATGGAGTTGAGGAAGTAGGTGTAGTGCCTTTTCCCTAAACCCTAAACCCTAAACCCTAAATCCGGAAATCATGGGGGGGTGAGGAAGTAGGTGTAGTGCCCGTTTTGGTGGAGGATGCTTGGCCTTCTGAACGCCTAAACCCCCCAAGCCCCTAAACCCCTAGAACCCCTAAAGCCCCTAAAGCCCTTTAGGGTTTAGGGTTTAGGGTTTAGGGTTTAGGGTTTAGGGTTTAGGGTTTAGGGTTTAGGGTTTAGGGTTTAGGGTTTAGGGTTTAGGGTTTAGGGTTTAGGGTTTAGGGTTTAGGGTTTAGGGCCCCTAAACCCGAACATCATGAAGTTGAGAAAAGTAGGCGAAGTGCCTTTTTTGTTGAGGAAGCTCGGCCTTAAGGCCCGGAGCCTTCCGGGCCTTGAAAGCCTCGACCCAAAAACCCTAAATGCTGAGCTCCTAACACCCTATACCCTACACCCGAAAAAGAAATTGTGCTTAGGGGCTTTCAGGAACAGAGGTTCGGGGCTGAAGGCTTGAAGGATCCCTACACCCTAAACCCTGCACTCTAAACCCTAAAACCGAAACCCCAATCCCTAAACCCTAAACCCCAAACCCTAAACCCTAAACCCCAGTCAAGCCCCTCCCTCTTGCCGCGGCCGTGAGGCGCCACGGTGGTGGTAAAATCTCGAGGGCCGATTTGCACTTTCACCTCCGCTGTCAGAACAGGGTTTAGGGTCTAGGGTCAAAGGCTGGTTTAGGGTTTCAAGTTCCCTGAACCCTAAGCTCCCCAAACCTTAAGCCCCATAAACCCTAAACCCTAAACCCTGAACCCTGAACCCTGAACCCTGAACCCTAAACCCTAAACCCTAAACCCTAAACCCTAAACCCTACCCCTCAAAAGCCTCAGCCCTGAAAGTCCGTCGCCCCCTTTGGTCGCCTGACACTCCTTGGGGCCGATGGTGCCCGCGACGCATGGCGTGAGGCACTCGATGACCTCGACCAGGGAATTATAGCTGGACACAGATGTAACCCAGCAATAGAAAGGGTTTGGGGGTTTAGGGTTTAGGGTTTAGGGTTTAGGGTTTAGGGTTTAGGGCTTAGGGTTTAGGGTTTAGGGTTAGGGTTTACCTAGGAATAATTAACGAGGGTGCCCTTTCTTGGCTTTCTCGGCTTGTAAGGGAACCGAAAACCAAAATTGTTTTACTTCGAACATCCCCACCCTCTCTCGGTAGAGATACTCTGGGGTTGGGCACTCCAGGGACACTCTGGGGCCGGGCACTACGGGTACACTCTGCGGTTGGGCACTCCAGGCAGACTCTGGGGTTGGGTACTCCAGGAACACTGGAACACTCTGCGGTTGGGCACTCCCGGGAGAGTCTGGGGTTGGGCACTCTAGGCTGGGCACTCTGGGGTTGGGCACTACAGAGAGACTCTGGGGTTGTGCACTCCAGGGAGACTCTGGGGCTGGGCACTCCGGGGACACTGGAGAAGAGGCGCGGAGAAGAGTTCCGGGCGAGGAGAAGAGTCGTGTTTAAAACTAACAACCCCACACCGAGGGTGGGGAATAAGGGCCTACTCTGGGTCCTCGTTAGGGCCTTCGGCCTTTTGCTTTTTTTTGCGGGGTTGCTTTGGGTTCGGGGCTCCGAGATTACGGCTTTTTTTGTGGGGGCGAGGGATTTGGGGTTTAGGGGTTCGGGGACTTACGACCCAGTTTAGATTACGGGTTTGGGGGCTTGGAGGCCCCTTAACCCCTAAACGCTAGACCCTAAACCCTATACCCCATGCACCCTAAACCCTAAACCCTGGTTTTGTGGGTCAGGGTCCAGAACGCCATGTCTCTGCAGAGGCAGGGGGCAGACGGGCGGTCAAATCCAGACGTCCTAATTTGTCTGCTTGTTTCGGGGTTTAGGGTTTGGGGTTAGGGTTTAGGGTTTCGGGTTTAGGGTTTAGGGTTAAGGGTTAAGGGTTTAGGGTTTAGGGGTTAGGGTTTTGGGTTTAGGGTTTTGGGTTTAGGGTTTTGGGTTGTGGGCTTGAGGGTTTTTGGGTGTAGGGCCCCCAAACCTCGCAAAAACAACTGCGGCTGAGCTGCCTCATCGTTGATCACGTTGCCCTGCGTTGTGGCAGTGAGCTTGCCGCTTGAAAATTCGATAATCACCTGAGCACTCTGCGAGGCGGGGATTCAGGGTTTTTTAAAACTGGGCCCTCCAAGCCCTGAAGCCCAAATCCCCCAAGCCCTAAACCCTAAACCCTAAACCCTAAACCCTAAACCCTAAACCCTAAACCCTAGAAACCGTGGATCCCAAACCCTGGGAAGCCCAAGAGCTGAGCCCTAAGCCTAACCCAAAGCACCCCCCCTAAAACACCAAACCCCAGGTGCACCAACCCGGGATGCAACTTCCCCTTGACCCGAAACCCTAAACCCTAAACCCTAGACCTCAAACCCGCTCCCCAAACCCCAAACCCCAAACCCTAAGACCCCAAACCCTTAACCCTAAACCACAGAAGTCCTTTATCCTAAACCCTCGAGAGCCCCAGGTACATCTGGCCCTAGAAACCCGGAACCCGAAGCCCCAGAAACCCTAAGCCCTAAGCCCTAGAAACCCCAGACCCTACACCCCAAGCACAAGCCCCAAACCTTAAGCCTAAACCCTAAACCCTAAACCCTAAACCCTAAACCATAAACCCCAAACCCTAGCCCCAAACCCTAGATGCCGCATTGCCCTATCTTGCGCTTCCCTTCAGGACCAGCGTCCATGCCGTTTGTAGACTGGAAGCCGACTCCGTACCTAAGTTTGGGGTTTCTTTAGGGTTTAGGGTTAATGGTTACAGTTTACAGAGTTTAGGGTTTAGGGTTAACGGGATGTCTTATAGGGCTTTCTTAGGGCTCTTTGGGGCTTTTCTAGGGATTCTGAGCGAGTTCTTCGGGCTTTTTTTGGGCGGGAAGGGGGGGGGGGGGGAGGGTTCATGGCTCTTAGGGTGTCTTTTCAGGCTTTTTTTCTAAGGAATTCTTAGGGACTTCTTGGGGTGTTGTGGGGGTGTTTAGGAGGAGCGTGTGGACTCCCAAGCCAAGCGCTGATCTGCTTCAACCCAACCTGAGTTAGGGTTTAGGGTTTAGGGCTTTGGGCTTAGGGTTTGGAGGGTTTAGGGTTTAGAGGGTAGAGTGTTTAGGGTCAGGCTGTTTGAGGGCCACTTTTGGAGGCCGCGGCTCCCTTTAGGGTTTAGGGTTTCGGGTTCAGGGTTTAGGGTTTAGGGTTTAGGGTTTAGGGTTTAGGGTTTAGGGTTTAGGGTTTAGGGTTTAGGGTTTAGGGTTTAGGGTTTCAACCTTGGCTTGCATCCCAAAATGCACGGTGACCTTCATCTGGCCCGTGACGGGTCCCAAAGGTGGCTCCACCTGCGCTGTTGTCGAAGGTTATGGTGCCTTACCCTGGGGTTTAGGGCTTGGGGTTTAGGGTTTAGGGTTTAGGGTTTAGGGTTTAGGGTTTAGGGTTTAGGGTTTAGGGTTTGGGGTTTAGGGTTTAGGGTTTAGGGTTTAGGGTTTAGGGTCCAGGACTTGGGGTTGATCCGACGTATGGGCCCTGCTTATATGACAGTGTAAGTAGGGGTTATATAACAAGGGACCCAAATTCAGGGTTTAGGGTGTAGGGTTTAGGGTTTAGGGTTTAGGGTTTAGGGTTTAGGGTTTAGGGTTTAGGGTTTAGGGTTTAGGGCAGATTCAGGGCCCATACTCGGAGCCCTAGCTTTCGGTGGAGGCCTTAGGGCCGTTGTGACTTTTAGGGATTTTGGGGGGATTTTACGGATGTTACCGATGTGACGGATTTTCGGGATATTCGGGAGTTTAGGGATTTGGGCGATTTTGGCTTTAGGGATTTGGGGTTTAGGGCTGAAGGGTTTAGGGCTGGGGTTTTCGAAATTACTGAACACCCCACGTTTCAATCTAGGAGCCAGTGAAACTGAAACTGAAAATGAAACTGAAACTGAAACTGACACTGAAACTGAAACAGTTACGGTTTCAGTTTCAGTTTAAGTGAGGGGGGGGAGGTGTCGAGTTTCAGTTCCAGTTTCAGTTTCAATGTGGGAGCCAGTGAAACTGCCAGTGAAACTGAATCTGAAACTGAAACTGCGTCAGTTTCGAAACTGTTTCAGTTTCGGTTTCAGTTTCAGCTTCAGCGAGGGGGGGAGGTGTCGAGTTTCAGTTCCAGTTTCAATTTTGGATACAGTGAAAGTAAAACTGAAACAGCTTCAGTTTCAGTTTCAGTTTCAGTGGGGTTCGGTATGGAACACCCCACAAGTTCCCAATACCTGACTTTCGTGCAAGGTTTAGAGTTTAGGGTTTCGGGTTTAGGGTTACGTAAGGGTTTAGGGTTTAGGACTACTAGGGTGATTAGGGTTTATTAGGAGTGCCTCTAAAAACCCAAACACCTAAACTGCGCCAAGCCCCAAGCCCTAAACCCTAAACCCTAAACCCTACACCCTAGCCCTCAACCCTAAACCCCAAACCCTAAACCCTAAACACTAAACCCCAAACCCTAAACCCCCAACCCGAAACCCTCAGACAGGTCAATTCCTGGCCTTGGTGATGGCGTAGGGTGGGCCTACGATGGACGACACGTTGATCTGCCAGACGTCGTCCTCAGACGGTGGGCTTCGGGCTGAGGGTTTAGGGTTTAAGGTTTAAAGGTTTAGGGTTTCGGGTTTAGCGTTTAGGCTTTAGGGTTTCGGGTTTAGGGTTTAGGGGTTTGGGGTTCAGGGTTTAGGGTTTAGGGCTTAGGGCTTAGGGCCTAGGGCTTCGGGCCTATGGCTTAGGGTTTAGGTCTTATGCATCATGTAATATCTTTATCTGGCTTATGTGAATATAAAGATTGTTCTATGGGCTCTCAGTTCATCGGGCACCCGTTGCTTCTGCACCCTACCCTAAAATAGCTACATGGTCCCTTTGTCTGGGCTATTAACAGGTGACCCCTTATGTACCCTATACAAATTAAGGGCCCTTACATCAGAACCCTTTAAGGAGGTTAGGGACCATAGTAAGGGCCCATGAAACTACCCTCAGACTTTTGGAAACATCAGAACGCCGTGCCCAGGGCCAAGCGCGCCCGAAACCCGCATTTCCGGTCGGTTAGAGGAGCACGCGCCCTAAATACTTGCATGGGGGCAGTGTGCACTCAGGAACTCTTCAGGTGCCTGGTGCGGGAATCTGCCAGGGGAAAGCATAAACGACAAGAGACGTACCAGCCAGGCACGACATCAAAGCGTGAAGTAAGTTCAGCCAAAGCTGCCTCAGCCAAGCGCCTTATCTCTTTTGCTTTCAGTGTACCAGGCTGGCTCCAACTCGCAGCTCGAGCGCAGTACGAACAGCTCGTAGCGAGATTGACGACAAGAGCCACGTGCTCAGAAACAGTGCCGCACACATGTTTCCACAGAAGCTGCTCCGGCGTGCTCCCGACTTCCTGATGGGGACATGTCCAATTTTTTACTGGGGTCGCAGGCGATGCATGTCCGCTGTTGGACAGCTTGATCCCTAAACCCTAAACCCTACACCCCACACCCTAAACCCCAGACTCTAAACCCTAAACCCTAACCCTAAACCCTAAACCCTACAAGACAAGGCACCTAGAACTCCTGAGTACCCTGTCTGTCAGATGCCTTTAAGGAGCATCCCCAAACCTCCCGTGAAAGTTGCTCCCTGAAACCCTAAACCCGAAACCCTAAATCCTAAACCCTAAACCCTAAACCCGAAACCCTAAACCCTAAATCCTAAACCCTAAATCCTAAACCCTAAATCCTAAACCCTAACCCGAAACCCGAAACCCTAAACCCTAAACATCGTACACCCCCAACCCCCTTGAGTCGAAGCCGAAGGTTCCAGCCACTTGTTCGCCCAACCGCCGAAAATCACCAGGCGCGACTCCTGCCGCGGGGCTGCGAGACTCTGGGGTTTAAGGCTTCGGGTTTAGGGTTTAAGATGTAGGGTGTAGGGTGCAGGGTTCGGGCATTCGAGGTTTGTTTGGGTTCAGAGCTTTAGGGTTCAAGTGCTTCGCTTATCCCAAAAACGTTTGGCACCCTAATTCCCCCCCCCCCCCCCGCCGGGAACATACTTTTCACAGGGTGTGGGGTTTAGGGTTTAAGGTCTGGGCACTAGGGTTTAGAGTCGCAAACAGCAGTTGGCAACCACAGCCCCCAACAACCAAGGCTTTGGGCTCTTGAGGTACAACCGTTTTCACCCGTTAACCCTTCAACCTTTAGGGTTGCGGGCTTAGGGTTTAGGGTTTAGGGTTTCGGGTTTAGGGTTTAGGGTTCAGGGTTCAGGGTTCAGGGTTCAGGGTTCAGGGTTCAGGGTTTAGGGTTTAGGGTTTAGGGTTTAGGGTTTGTTTAGGGTTTAGGGTTTAGGGTTTAGGGTTTAGGGTTTAGGGTTTAGGGTTTAGGGTTTAGGGTTTAGGGTTTAGGGTTTAGGGTTTAGGGTTTAGGGTTTAGGGTTTAGGGTTTAGGGTTTAGGGTTTAGGGCCCTAAAACAAGGGCCTCGGGGTCGTAGCAGATCGCCGAGTGCTCTCGCGGTGGCGGCAGGGCGTCCTGCATTGGATAGGCTAGGGTAGAGAGACTGCTTGGGGTTTCAAAGTGTAGGGTTGAGGGCCTTAGGGTTTAGGGTTTAGGGTTTAGGGTTTGGGGTTTAGGGTTTAGGGTTTAGGGTTTCAAGTGTTAGGGTTTAGGGTTTCGAGTCTTAGGGTTTGGGGTTGAGGGCTTCGGGTTTCAAAGCTTGGGGTCCAGGGTGCGGGTTTGTGGCTTAGAGCGTAGGGTTCGGTCCTGAAGAACGGCTTCAACTTCCAGACCGTAAACCTAAACGCTGAACCCTAAATCCTAAACCCTAAGCCCTAAACCCTAAACCCTAAACCCTAAACCCTAAACCCGCAATCCTAAACCCTGGACCCTGGACTCTGAGCCCCAAAAAAGCCGCCAAAGCCGAGATCCTGAAAAGACCCTGAAAAGATATACAAAGCCCAAACCCTCAACTTTGTCGGTCCGAACAGCCCTTAGGGTTCTTAGGGTTTAGGGTTTAGGGTTTAGGGTTTAGGGTCTAGGGTCTAGGGTTTAGGGTTTAGGGTTTAGGGTTTAGGGCTCAGGGTTAAATAGGGCTGAGGACGGGGAGATGGCGAGTTCTCTCAATTCGGGTCGCTGTCTGGGGCGCCCTATGTACAAGCCATAACAAGAAGAAAACGAAACCCTCGTCACATATTATTTGGGATGTTCAGCCTTATACTAACAGTCCTTGTTAGGGATTATAATAGGGGGGGTACTACAATCTCTATTCAGGACTGTTCGTATAAGGGTGAACATCCTAAAATATATTACAAAAGTTTACGGGCCTTGGGCTCCGACTCAATTTCGAAGATACCAAGGACGTAGATTTTGGACTTCGGGCTTAGGCTGTGAAAGATGATGTCCATCCCAACCTCAACCCGAAACCAAACGACGAGGTGGACCCTAAACCCTAAAGCCTAAACCCTAAGTCACCGAGGTGCCCCAGGTAGGGTTTAGGTTTAAGCACGCTTCTACTTGGCCTCAAGGGCTTCTGACCCGAGCAAAAAAAGAAAAGGCAGTACTGTGCGGCCTGAACCCCTAAAGCCTCAACCCTCAACCCTAAACCCTAAACCCTAAACCCGAAACCCGAAACCCTAAACCCTCAAAACGCCACGCCTCGCCCTTCATATCCAAGGTCGGGTCGCTCCATCGCATGGGCTCACCCATGTCCT